TTACAGCTCATTTGGCACTTCTAAATCCAATAATCCTCATCCTTCACTGAAAAAAATAAGTTAGAATGTTATTAAATATGAAATAGATAATATACACATCATAGAGTACGAATAAGTTAGAACATTTACTTAATAAACATAATTGGACAGATTTTCTGAACTAGAAATAACACTCAGCTTCAGTAAACCAGAATTAGACCCCTCCAAAACCTGAGACTATTTAATTCGCCTATGTATTATAAACAAGGAATATGAAACTGAGAGGTAACACACTCTGCCCATTCCCTTTTCAAAATTGTGTGAGTGATAGTAACAGACTCCTTGAGACAAAATTACCACTGTAATAGTTATTTGGTTCAGATGGTTTTATACAAAGATAGGATGGTATTTTTCTGTGCCTCATACTTTTCTTAATAATGCCTAGGTTTTTAATGGCTCTTTTGCTCTGTACCAGCAAATTGGGCAGATAACATCAGTAAGTTGTTGACAGTTATACTGAGATCATTGTTTTGAGACCCAATGTCTTTAGGAGGCTGTTATTTAATAAGTTTAACATACTATTTTCCCCTAAAGTTACTAAACTGCTCTTGCCTACACACTGTTCCTTTCTGCCAATTAGCTCTTTCCTGGTGCCTTCTCAGATTAGCATTTCATATCCTCAAAGCACTTAACAGTATGTATAAATATGGACATTTCACTACTGCCCATATTCTCCCTCAGACCACTCAGAAATATTTAAAATAAGACCAGTCCCTGAATGGATCAGGGAGAAGGGACCACTGTTTTGTTTCTTGTCTAAATTAGTTTCTCATTAAAGACAAAATGTTGCCCTGTCTTCTCCCCACACCCAAAGCCAGGGAGCACCAACGATGTGCAGTACTCAAAAGTGCTTTCCTTTCAGATAAAAAGAAATGGATTTCTATTTAAAAATCAGACAAGGCTAAGCAAAGTGGCTCATGTCTGTAATTCCGGCACTTTGGGAGTCCCAAGTGGGAGGATCACTTGAGCCCAGGAGTTCCAGACCAGCCTGGGCAAGACCTCCACACTAAAAATAAAAACAAAAATAAGATAGAGGTCAGACAAATGTTATCTCAAAATGGCTACCAAAAACCAGACATGTATCCACACAACAGTTATATCTGGAATTGCAAACATTTCTTTAGACTCAATGGCAACAAATATTACTGGGAGCATATCCTCGACAAATGACATTTGCAATTTACAAATAACATTCAGGCACAAATTGACTAATTCACAAAAGGAAACAGAGCTAGTAATTGAGATCTGAAAGTCCAGCCTTACCAATAATCAGAGAACTGTATCACAAAACAAAGATATCAGCCAGGTATGGTGGCTCATCCCTATAATCCCAGCATTTTGGGAAGCTGAGGCAGGAGAATCACTTGAGCCCAGGAGTTCAAGACAAGCCTGAGCAACATGGCAAAACCCCATCTCTACAAAAAAATTTAAAAATTAGCTGGACATGGTGGCGCACACCTGTAGTCCCGCTACTCAGGAGGCTGAGGTGGGAGAATGTCTGGAGCCCTGGAGGTTGAGGCTTCAGTG